ATTTTGTGGCAAATCCCGTTGAGCAGCGGCAGATGCCTCGGTAAGTTGTGGCATCTGTGGCATACACCGGAAGTACTTGCCACAGATACCACAGAGTAGCGGCCTCTGTGGCATATGCCGGAAGTACTTGCCACTGCCTGCAGATGCCACGAAATGCGCTTGCTGTCTCTCCTTGATTCTTTGTACAGTATGAAAAAATAGTCTTTGTACCTGAGCTGAAGTTCACTGCTGTGAGGATTCCAGTTCTGTCTCTCACTCTCTGGTCCAGCCTGTCTGCATCACCTGGACACCTTAAACAAACAGATATATATATATATATATATATATATATATATATATATATGTAAAGTACCATGTGTACAAACAATATAACTGATTCTCTTCTGTTGAACATGTTGGATTGTGTATTGTCCGAGTCAGGGTCCTTTTTATTTTACTGTAACTTTGGAAGTTGTGTTACCAATGCTTACTGTTTATTTGATACCCATTTGGTAATGCAATTAGGTTTGGGTTCGTTCTTCAGATGACTGTGACGTTAACGTGTAAGCTCAATAATGAACTCCAGCTCAACCAACCATATTGTAATATCTAAGTAATCATCTTGAAATATGACATTAATAATTGTAATATACACACATCTTATTGTGAGGTTGATTTCACATACACTACTTCGACATTAGCTTGTCTACATACTTGAGCATAGCCAATTTAAATTAACCTTAGATGCATACAGTTCCTACCTACATAATAAAATATCTCTAAGTTACAAGGATGTAACCTCAAACAGAAGCCGTTTGTTCAACAGTATTATCCCACTTAACACTTGTCTATTTCGTTTTAACCTTTATATATACAGTCTATGATTTTAACTTGGAGGCTACGATTACAATCGTTAGCACCGATGTAGCTACCACTAGCTTACATGCTAACCCAAGCCTTACCATTCATTACGTAGCTGATTAAAATCATTAACACATAAATAAAGCACTCGAATTTCACTTACCGCATTCATGCACCGTCTGTTTTAACCGCAGAGCGAGTCACAATAGTCCGATAAATAAGCATGAAGAACAAACAACCACGGCCGGCTACAAGTTGTGTTTCCTGGATGAGCTGAGCAGGCAGAGTCCCTGTAGCTAGCTTAACGGAGCAGGTAGCAGAGAGACAAGAAGCTAACAGCGGCAGGCACTTGACAGAGCCGTCACTCAATGTGACCATGCCCTAATTTATGCACAAACTTTAAGACCTAATATAAATAAAAAGGTCGCGTTAGAAAACAATTCACTCACAGATCCATAATCATGAAGGTGGAATCTAACTATATCGATAATAAAAATGTATGGAGCCAGGGGTAGAAACATGTTTTTTTCTGCTGTAAAGTTGGGCATTTTAACATGCCCCTCGGGGCAGACTTTTTATGTGCTCACGGACTCCTGGTGGGTTGTTAAAAATAAACGCTTGGTTGATGCCTTGACGTTTTCCTCCCTTGTGTGTACACTTGGCAAGGCAGCGTACGACGGGCTGTCAGGCTCGCTGTCGGGAACGGACATTTTTCTCAGGCTGTTGGCTGAATTTCCAGACCTGACGCTACCCACCTTCTCCGCGCTCACCACCAATCATGGAGCACCACGTCGCCACCGAAGGTCCCCCAGTCTACGCCAGGGCCCGGCGGTTGAACCCTTCTAAGCTTGCAGTAGCGAGGGCGGAGTTTTCAACCATGGAACGCCTGGGTATCGTCCGCCGTTCTGACAGTCCTTGGGCCTCTTCTCTACACGTCGTTCCCAAGCCGAACGGCGGTTGGCGCCCGTGTGGGGATTACCGCCGCCTCAACGACGCCACGACACCTGACCGCTACCTGGTGCCGCACATTCAAGACTTTGGCCGGTACGTCGGTGTTTTCGAAAGTGGACCTGGTGCGTGGTTACCACCAGGTGCCCATGCATCCCCTGAACGTCCCTAAGACAGCAGTGATAACGCCGTTTGGACTTTTCGAGTTCCTGCGGATGCCTTTTGGGCTCAAGAACGCCGCCCAAACGTTCCAGCGCCTGATGGATTCGGTGCTGCGGGACCTGCCGTTCGTGTTCGTTTACCTGGACGACATACTCGTCGCCAGTGCTTCGGTAGAAGAGCACCTGTCACACCTCCGAGCCCTTTTCACGAGGCTTAGTCAACACGGGTTGATAATCAATCCTCCGGTTTTTGACATTGACTTCCTCGGACACCGCGTCACCAAGGCGGTGCAGCTCCCCTGCCGGCGAAGGTTGAGGCTGTTGCGGCGTTTCCTCGCCCACTCACAGCCCGGTCGTTCCGTGAGTTCCTGGGGATGGTGACTTTCTACCACCGTTTCACCGCCCACATTATGCGGCCGCTGTATGAGGCTTTGAAGGGCACAACCCCCATCCAGGCGATCGACTGGACGGCGGAAGCTGAGTGCTTTTTTTCTGCTTTTTCGGAGGTCAAGACCGCGTTGGCTCAGGCTCTGTTGGCGCACCCATCATCCACGGCTTCCATCTCCATTACCACAGACGCATCGGACTACGCCGTTGGTGCGGTGCACGAGCAGTGGGTGGAGGGCGTTTGGCAGCCGCTCGCCTTTTTCAGCCATCAGCTGACGCACAGTGAATGCAGGTACAGCGCTTTTGACCGAGAGCTCCTTGGACTCTGGTTGGCCGTGCGGCACTTCCGTTTTTTGCTGGAAGGTCGTGAGTTTACGGCGTTTGTCGACCACAAACCGCTCACGTTCGCTATGTCAAAAGTGGCTGAGCCTTGGTCTGCACGTCAGCAGCGGCAGCTGTCTTACATCTCAGAGTTCACCACAGACATTAAACACGTGGCTGGCAAATCGAACCTGGTCGCAGAGTGCCTCTCCAGGGTCGTCATCGGGGCCGTCCAGTTGGGCCTGGATTATACCCGCATGGCGACGGACAAGGTCATGGACCCCGGCGTACAGGCCCTGAAGGAGGACGGCTTGGGGCTGCGCTTGGAGGACGTGGTTTTTGGTGACGCAGGCGTTACTCTCCTGTGCGACGTCTCCACAGGCCTGCCGCGGCCGGTGGACCGGGTGAAGGCTGCTCACCTGGACTTGGACCAGCCGGTGGTGCTGGCTCGACCTCCGCGACGGGGCCGCCCCCCGGCCTCGACCCCTGTCACGGAATTGGGGCCTGCGGCTCCGGTCCCATCTCTTCCAGCGGCCGCCCCTTCAGAGGTCGCCTCCCCGGCTACCGTTCTTCGGAGTCGGGGTGGTCGGCTTGTCGTTCCTCCCCGCCACACAGACTTTGTGTATGAGTGAATTCTGGGGGGCTTGTGTGGTGACAGTTACATATATAGTGTGTGTTGCAACCCGGACCGGTTAGTGAAGGTACCAGGGTTTGGGTTTTTTCCTGCTGGCTTGTCATGCAGAGCAGTTGATGTACTTACCTCTTAGAGATTAATGAATAATAAAGTGTGGAAATGCATTCTGAATGCACCGCCTCTGACTCCCGTTCTTCGGCTCTACAATCTATTACATTTTGGTTGAAAAGACAAAAAATACTTTATAGGTAAGACATTTTGAGGAATCAAAGCTATGTTTATTTAGGCGGTGGTGGCGAAGTCAATAGGGACTTGGCTTGGCAACTGGAAGGTCACAGTTCAAGTCCCGGCAAGACCAAGTGCTACCGAGGTGTCCCTGAGCAACGCACCGTTCCCCACACTGCTCCCCGGGCGCCGTTCAAAATGGCAGCACACTGCTCCTAACACTAGGATGGGTCAAATTCAGAGAAACAATTTCCTCACGAGGGATTAATAAAAGTCCATCTTTATCATAAGCACGTTGTTTTGTAAAATGTAAAGTTTGTTGACCTTATGTAGTAAAGCTTCATCTAAAAAATTTGACAACAGTGCAATTATACCAAAAGTAAAAGATTGTTCCATTATACAACCATATATTATATGTTTTTAATCATAATTATTGATGTGTATATAAAAGCTGGTAAAGGTGGAAATAATTTAAATTACTTTATCTTCTGCTGGGTAGCATTTTAATTTAACTATACAACTTTTGTTATACAAATTGTCAAAAGTATATAAAGTGCAAGCAATGTATATTAATGTTGCTGCATCTACAAAATCAATCAAATGTGCCTATTAAATAAATAACAACATTGTTATGACATGAACAAAATAAAACTGTTGAGGACTGCAATTAACATAAATCAACAAGTCTAACAAGCAAGTTAGATGCTGCGTATCACAGTGCACTGAGATTTTTGACACATTTTAAAGCACTTACGCATCACTGTACACTGTATACCAAGGCGGTTTTGCCATCACTTACTGTACGGATGCTCAGTCACTGGTACATGTTCATTTACAAAGCCATGTTGGATAAACTACCATCTTATATCTGCTCCCTGATCTCTCTGCGAATTGAAAGTAGTTATTGCCTGAGATCGCATGCTGTGGTTTTATTAAATGTGCCAAGTGCTAGGACTGTTTTAGGGAAGAAAGCTTTTAGATGTGCAGCTCCAACTTGGAACAGTCTGCAAAAATAATGGAAAATTACCAATCTGGTACCACTACATGTTTTTAAAGCTCGGTTGGATGCTACACAATCAGATGCTGTTGGTACCTGTACATGTGGATAGATATGTAAATTGTAATCCCTGTAATTTTTGCTGTATGATGTCTTTTTGTTGTTCTGTTGTTTATGTTTTTATGTCTTCATGTGGAACCTACTGCTGCAGGTTTCCGTTGAAAAAGAGATCAATGATCTCAATGGGATTTCACCTGGATAAATAAAGGTTTTGAATTTAATTGAAAACAAAAAAGCAACAATTCCTTTATTATTGGAAAACAAATTGTATTTTTTCATGATAAAGAAATAAATTATTTGAATTATTTAGATTAAGGTACAGCTGTACAGCTAGGCTGTGTCCAGTATTATGGCTGCATGATGTGACACGGTACAGTCCACTAGGGGGCGGTATGGACGTCTAATGAGGGTAATCTACTCATATCTAGCTAAAGAAGAAGACCTGCGCATGTCCATCACAACATAGCAAGCACGCACGCTATTGCAGTTATTTTAGTTTTTATTATTACAAACTTTAATCTAAAATGCCACCGAAAGGAAAAGTTGGCAAAAAGGGCGAAAAAGGTTAGACAGCTATGTTTGGAAAATAACGTGTTACCACTGCTGTTGGCTTAAAGTCAGCAACATTAACTAGCCTGTAGCAAACAACTATTAATATAACATACATTTATGTATTTCACTAAATGTAAAGTCTTTATATTTATCGCTGCAATTGTGTGTTTTGGTTTTGAATTGGTTTTAACTGTGGTAGTGTTCTGACTCTTTTTACTGTGTAGGAGCAGCTTCAGGAAGTGCAGACGCTGATAAGAAGGAGAAAGCACCAAAGGGAGGCACTGCTGTGAAGGTATGCAGATGGTTGTCTGTCTGCCCTGCCCTTCTCATCATACGTTAATTACATGTTTGGACGAGAAGGCTGAAAGGAAATGATAGTTGAATTAATCGGTAACAGATTATGCACTTAGGCATCATTTATGATCAATAAAATAGGAGGTGAATCAATGAAGAGCATATTGTATACCTGTTTTCAACTTTGAAATGTTTTCATGTATAATGACCATGTTTGTCACAAGCTATCTTTCAGGCATCTTGTTTTATCTCCACTGGGATGCTTTATCTGCTTTCTTACAACAGTGAATAAACCTGAGTTTATTTCTAGAAGTCTAACTGTGCCTTCTATGACCTGTGTATAAACCCAGGTTCGCCACATCCTCTGTGAAAAACATGGGAAATGCATGGAGGCAATGGAGAAACTGAAGGCTGGAGTCCGTTTCAGTGAAGTGGCATCACAATTCAGTGAAGACAAAGCGAGACAAGGAGTAAGAACACGCACCCAACTTAATTAAAATGATCCAATTATTGACTATAAGACCTAACTTCAATGGTCTTTGTTTGTTAATGAATGTACATCACATTATTATGACTGTATTTAATTCAAGACTAAATTCATCCTTATTGGTGGTGATAAATATCGAAGATTATAAATATGATCTACACACAATTAGTCTTCATAGGTGATTAATTTCAGACTGGCGAATAGTATTTAGTCCCCAATACTCATTATACAAATAAGACCAAATGCGCTATTTTTTTATCAATTCTTTACATATTTCACATTAATTCACACCAGAACATATACATTGTGTATACGCTGTTACTCAGTGAAACCATGTGCATTTTTTATTTGCTTGAATTCAGAACTGTACAAACACACTTTTGCCTTAAATCCTTATCTGTGACCTAAGCATGGCTGGTAACTAAAAGCCTTAAAAATATGTTGTTTTGGAATTCCTGCATTACTCAAAGTTTCTACTGTTGTCTCTCGAACCCCTTTGTTTCTCATGTCTTACTTACATGCCCAGTCTTGGCACTAATGTCTGTTGCAAACATTGTGTTTTATTAATGATTGTATTATTCATGACAGGGTGATCTGGGGTGGATGACGCGAGGATCAATGGTTGGACCTTTCCAGGAGGCGGCATTTGCCCTACCTGTCAGTTCCATGGATAAACCAGTCTACACAGACCCTCCTGTCAAGACAAAGTTTGGGTACCACATTATTATGATAGAGGGGAAAAAGTGACGTGGGACTGCTCAACTATTCTACAGTGTTGGGGTTTTATTATCCAGAATGTTTAAGAATAAGAAAATGATATGATCCTCATGTATAAGCTTTGTCTTATCAACACTACCTTATTGTCAAACTTACCTGAAGGAACATTCTTACAATCTTAAACTTGACATTTAATTCGATGGATTTTCATTTTCAGTTTGATAAATGGCCAAATAAATACACTCAAATACGACATACTGTCACTTTGTGTGTGTGTGTGTGTGTGTGAGAGAGTGTGAGTGTGTGTGTGTGAGAGTGAGTGAGTGAGTGAGAGAGAAAGAGATAGATAGATAGAAGAAGTGTCAACGGTTGCTTTAGCGTCACTACAGGAACACAAATCACAAAGACTCAAAACTAAGCTAGTCTTCTATAAAGCAGCAGTGGGCAGCAATTACTAAATTAATGATCACCCATTTTCATCTTCATCATAGTTGCACTGAAGTACTTACGCTACAAGCTCTTTCCCCTTGGACATTAGCCGTTTGATCGACTGTTTTTTCTTTATTCTTGGAACCATACAAGTAATCGGAGGTGTAAGAAGTACTCTTGTATTTAAGTACAAGTAGAATTGCCAGAGTATAAGTAAAAATCCTGTATTTTAAATATTACTTAAGTAAAAGTACAAAAGTATTATCATCAAAACATACTTAAGGTACCAAAAGTATAAGAAGTCATTATGAAGTAACCTGGTAAAGGTGCAGCTAGTTTTAATGACTTTGTATACTGCAGGGCAGCTTGTGAATTTACTCCAGGTGTAACTAAAGTCTTATTTAAGTGTTGATTATATTTCACATCATGAATGCTGTGAAGTAAATCTAGTGGAGTAAAATATACAATTTACCTCTGAATTGTAGTGGGGGAGAAGTACAAAGTAGCAACAAATTGAAGTAGGCCTACTCATAAAATACAAGTCTCTCAAAATTATACTTAAATACAGGAGCCTACCTGAGTATAGTACTAACCATTTCAAGTAATAAAAACCAATTAGACACATTTTAAATATTGTATGTGACAAGAAAAAACACACTCGGGTGTTTACATCCAGAGAGCTAGGCGGCAGCAGCCCGCAGAGGCTCAGCGCAGAGCCGCATCAGGAAGAGACCGTTGACGTTGTTACGCCTTGCTAGATGATTGGCGAGGTAAGATGGCGGCGCCAGAGGAGCCAGAATTATCTCAGGCGCAGACTGAAAAACTCCTTCAATTTCAGGTAGACAGCTACATTTCCGCACTATCACGTCTCCATTTAAAAAACCTTATATGTTAATATGCTATCGTGAAACTGAGTCTCTGTAAATAGGGAGAACTGTGCGTGTTTGAACGCTTTTTGCCCAGTCAACTTAGCACAGCCCCCTAACGTTACTCGTCAACTTGAGTCAGAGCTAACGTTAGCAAAGCTAGCTAACATTAGCTAAGCTAGCTAACAAGTTCGCTGACTTTATGGGCCATTGGTTCACTTAGACAGCTTAACGTGTTTCACATTTTAGTCAAATACTTTCCCAACATCCTACTTTGTTAACCAACATCACTCGTGGTTTGTTTTTATTTACATGTCTTCCCTACCGTTAACTTGGCTAACGGTGAATGTTCACTGACGCTCCCTACTAAACACTGCTGAGTTAGCATTAGCACAGCAGTCATGATCGAGCTGTCACTGAAGTTTCCCAGCGACACATCTGTTTTAGCAATTCCACATGAAGTTGTTGGTGTTATGACAATGCACATGAGGAGACGCCCCCCCCCCCTCTTTAATCCATAGGTTGTTTTGCTTTTTTAAAGTCCTGCATTAACAAAGAACGCCGTCAGAACGGGTCATATTTTGGGCAGCTAGCTAACCTGTAAATGATCGTCATCCTGCTTTGGCTGAACGCTTTCCTACATGTTGACGTTTATTTTGAGCTAAGATAGCTGCCCAACTAAAGAGTAGTTATTCAGCTACATGGATCATATCATTCCAGCCTAGTGTTGTGCGATTCTATATAACGTTTGTATATGAATAACTTGATACAGAAAACCAGTAGCCTGTAAGCTACTGAAAGAAATCCCTGACTATCAGCAAACGTGGTTTTTTTATTTTTTTTATTGAAGAAACATGCCATATAGAAAATGCATTTAGCTACATCATTGGGAACCACAGTTAAAGAATATAAACAACCAGGGCCGACTTATTCTTAACTACTATTTTACATCAAGTGAGGAGCAGTTGCTTTTGTATTTGTTTCCCTGTTTGTTCTTCTCTTTGAAGGCATACACAATGCTAACACATATTCATAACCAAAACAAACCAATAAACGAAAAAGAAAGAGAGTAATTAACAAACTGATTAAATAAATAACAAAGCAGACATGTTTCCCTGAGCAACCTGAGGCCTTTAGAATGACTTATTTCTTGTCTCACAGGACCTAACTGGCCTGGAGTCCATGGACCAATGTCGTCGAACATTAGAACAGCATAATTGGAACATAGAGGTAAGAAATGCTTTCAGAGTATTTACAATTGTATTATTATGTTTCTGTTTACATTGTATTTCTTACATATTCTGTTAACAATGATTGCTCTCTTTGGTTAATATGTTATCCCTTCCTTATTGTTATTGAAGGATTTTATTTGTATTTGATGTTCTTAAATGTATGTGTTTCAGGCTGCAGTACAAGACCGACTTAACGAGCAGGAAGGAGTACCCAGTGTGTTTAACCCTCCGCCATCCAGACCCTTACAGGTCAATACAGCAGACCATAGAGTATATAGTTACATCGTCTCAAGGCCACAGCCCAGGGTAAGTCTGCTGGGTTTTTTTATGTTTGTGATCTCTTAAATATTAAATATGTTAAATATTTTCACCACAAAATTGAGCTGTATTTTTCTTAAAATATTCTTTACAATGGGTTAATGCTCAACACAGTGTGTTACTTTGAAGGCAGTCTTTTAACATGTTTAATCTTAGTGGGGTGTCTTTTTTGTATTTAGTCATTTTTAATTGAATGGAATGACACAATACATAGCCCTCATATATTGGATTTTTTGTTTACCTATTTTCTACTTTCGGAATGTAACAGACTGCTTTGTTCTTTTCAGGGACTACTAGGATGGAGCTACTACTTGATAATGCTACCTTTCAGATTTACATATTACACACTTCTGGACATATTCAGGTAATTCAGGCACATTGATTTCAAGTTGCAGCTGGTGGATAGATCAAGGTTAATAACAGCCTCAATGTTCTTTTTCTTCAAGGTTTGCCCTGCGGTTTGTCAGGCCAGATCCTCGCGGCCGTGTGACAGATCCTGTTGGCGATGTTGTGTCCTTCATTCATAGCTTTGAGGAGAAGTACGGACAATCACACCCTGTATTTTACCAGGGAACATACAGCCAGGTGAGTCCAGAGAGCAGATGTCCGATCACGAGCACACTGTTTTCTGATCTAAATCAAGGTGAAATTGCAATATATTGAGCTTCTCTTGTTCACCTTGAAACAAACAGGCACTGAATGATGCCAAACGGGAACTCCGCTACCTATTAGTGTACCTTCACGGGGAGGATCATCAAGACACTGACCAGTTTTGCCGGTATGATCCTTATGTCCATACTTACCTACATCCCCTTAGCGTTTGCAACTAGAATGATCAATGCACCGATTTATCCTCCACACATCAGTACCAGCCCATATTTTCCGTGTCATATGACTATTGGCAAAAATGATGACATGGCCTATATGTAGTTGTATAACAGACTAAAAAGGCTTTGACATTTGAATCCGCGCAGCAAGTAATTTCTTGTCATGTTGTTGCTGTTTCATACTTTTTAAGTTTGTTGGTACTTAATGCGCCGTCTGGTTTGTCTTAACAACATGTTATAAATGCACTGAGCCTCTAGTATGATATCAGTATTTTTATTTATAACCTCTGCTGTATTTTTATAGATCCATACGCATATAAAGATGAGTTCCCTTTGGCTTAAATAAATGTTTTGTTTTGTGCTGTCTGTCATTTCCTAGCTCTACACTATGTACAGAAGAGGTCGTAACCTTCCTCAACACACGTATGCTCTTTTGGGCATGCTCAACCAGCAGGCCTGAGGGCTACAGAGGTATGACAAATGCATTGTTATTCAACCCAGCATATTCTTGTGTCAGCTGTTCCTAAAAATGTAACATGTGTTGTTCTGGTCCTGAGAAATATCTTTGACATTTCACTCACACATGCAGCCCTGTTTAATGTGTCCATCCCGAATGAAAGAGATTTGAGAAACTCAAATTCTGGGTTTTAAATGTGGGTAAAGGACCCTATCCTATGTTTGACATCAGGCGATTGTCTTATATTGTCAGTGTTTCCCCTAGGATGGAGTCATAGCAGCGGTGCTAAGGCACGCGGGCCTAGCAAAATGTGACCGCGGAGTGCGTGGATTTTTTTTTGTGCGTGCGAAGTGCGCCCGCCAATATGTTTCTATGTGTCTGCCAGCACAAGAAAGGCTCTTGAGGCTCTACAGGTGTATTTTGCTAAATCACCTTTATTGAACATACAGTAACACAAATATTACACATCCACATAACAAACAATCCAAATAAAATGTATGCAATTTAATTATTTTAACCTGCTTTATTTGGGGGTGCACCTCATCCTCTAGGGGGGTCCGGGGGCATGCACTCCCGGGAAGATTGTTTTTAAAATGTTGACGTTAAATGCATCAATCTGGTGCACTTTGAGCACAACATGAATTTATGGATACAGCTCTCAACACTGTAGTTGACTGTAGTAAAGCTCCCTTTATTGGTTATGAAATAAAGCTGTATACTTTTCAATAATCCAAACATCTTTAGAATATGATCACAACCAATAACAAATCATTTAAACTGGTTTATTCTTATGTTATGTTACCTAGTTTTTTTTTTACTGTCCTATAGTACACATTGGAATGATTTCTTACGTTATTTTGTACAACTATATTAGATAGATAAAGGTGTGCTCTGTCTCGCTCGCTCACAGAGGCTGTGTGCTCCTCTGGCGATGACGCGGGCGCCACGTATTATTATTTTAATGTATATAAATAAAAAATGTTGGTACCTGGCTGGCGCCCCGTAGTAGCGGCGTGCATACATATGTATGTATATAGGGGAAACACTGATTGTGTTAGTAGTCCCATTTTTCCATTGGTTTATAAATGGTTAAAACACACATTAAATCGTAAGACGGTATAGAATTAT